GTGTTACTTGCAGGATCACCAGGTGAAAATAAAAGAAAAAAATGTCTGAAAAAAGAAAACTAGTGCAGCCACCACATCTAGGGACTGTTAAGCTGCTCGTATTAAATGTTGGGTATACAGTGTAGATACACTTAATTTTTTTATTTCTGTGGAGGTGATATAATGATGGCCCATTAACCATATAATGATACTCTTCACCTGCTTTGGATCTAGCATAATTAAATTGGTCTGTGATCTATTTCCCTTGCTGAAGACAATCTACAGGTGCCCATACACCTTATGATTATCGGACGATTTTCGTATGCGATCGACTTTTCGTCCGATAATCGTATGTGTGCATTGCAGTGTCCGACCGACATTACTGCACAATCGTACGACTTTTGACGGTCAAGCATATTTGAAAACTTTGCTAGATCGTACGATTGTCATAAGGTTGCGTTGCTGGCGTTTCCGTCCGTCAAAAGCCGTACGATCTACACTGCGCTTGCGCTAACGAAAATACGGCAAATCAATTACCGCATTTCGTCCAGGTGCTTTTCGTTAATTATGCCTAAATTAATCTTGTGATCATCGGGGCAGGATGGGGCTGTCGTACGAAAATCGTACGACTATTCGATCATTGGACGGAAAGTTTCGTCCGATAATCGTAAGGTGTATGGGCACCTTTAGGCCCCTTACACAAGGGCTCTCTAAACAGGTCTGTCTATCAGTTTTCAGGCTGACCTAATCGGACGCCCAATGTTAGTCTATGGGCAGCCTGAGTTCTGTATAGGTGGACCTAATTGTGGAGGACCGGAGGTAATCTGATGTAAACTGACACATGTCTACTTACATCCGACTCCCCTCAGACCAACATGGGTCTGGTAATGTCAGTTTTTAACTCTACCACAAGATGAAGAAAAAAAACTGGATGGACACGGATGTCACAATAGTGACTTCTGTTCTGATCAGCAGGGATCTTTGCATGGATCCCCTCCTGATTGGACCGTGTGAAAGGGGCCTTAGGTGGCATTATTATCACTCCAGGCGCGCACAGTGATACCGTACCAGTATAGATGCTCCAATCTAGACTCATTTTGTAAAAGCAGCTCGGGGCGAAGGCAAGTGTGGGCAGGTGAACGTTGCTGCGGCTACACGTTTTTTGAAGAGCCAGGTCTTCTTTTTCAAGCCGCCCACACTTGCCTTCTCCCCGAGACTCAGCGCTCGTCGCCCCGGGCGTCCCTGTACGCACCGTCGAGCGCTGAAGTCACATCACTCCCACTGACTCTCCCGGCTCTGCCGCCTGCAGCGTCCATCTCCTGGTAACCGCCTATCACAGCCTTCTCCACTCTCTGTGCCCGCCCGCCTCCAGCCGTCCTCTCTCCTCCTGGCACACCGCTCGTTGTCTCGGGCTGGCTTGCTCGTGCCCTCGAGCGTTGGAGTCTCAACACTCCCATCAGCGATCCTTTGCTGGACACCTCGGGCTCCATCCCAGTCTCTTCCCCCCCACACACCCGATCCGCCCAGTGCATATGCCCACACTGACCTGACACTTCCAGTCGCCAGACCCATCAATCTCAAGCAGCAACACAGTGCACACCAGCTGCACCTTACCCCCCTCAGTCCCAACATCATCCAATAGCCCATGTCCACCCATGCCTGTCACCCCCCTCCCATGCACTAATCGGACCCAGGCTCCCACCACCATCCAGCACCCCCCAAACCCTCAATTCCCCCTGACCTTCCCACAAGCACAATTGATTGCTCATAATCCCCACCAGTGGAGGTTCCCCATCTATTCACCCCTCGTCGCTGATATCGCATCAGCTATTACTTTTTGGTAAGTTTTTCAAATTTTGCATAAATCCAATTACTTATGGTAGTAGCGCTTCTATCCCCATTTTTTGTTCTCCTTGACAAACGTCGGACACCCCGGTCCGCATTCCTAGAAGCTGCACACCTGGTGCGAAAAAAACCCATACCCAATCACCCTCACCCTCGTGGTAGCGCTGTATCACGGGACTGCAATCCCAATTTTACACTGGTCCTTGCAGCCTTTTGGTCACCAATCCACAGAAAGGATGTCCTTGAGCTAGAGAGAAGGGCAACAAAACAAATTAAGGGGCTGGAGGATCAAAGCCATGAGACAAGGTTGCTAAATTTAAATTTGTCCATGCTGGAAGTGAGGCGATTTAGAGGGGACATGATTTTAATGGTTTAATGGTTAGTGGTGATGGCAACATCAGCAATTAACTTTTTACTGTAAGTCCATAACAAAGACTAGAGGCCAACACCTAAAACTGGTGGAGAAAAGATTTATCCACAAAGGGCGTAGGGGCTTCTTTTCAGTCATAGTGGTTCCATTTTGGAACTCTCTGTCACAAGCAGAGAGTATTGATCCATTCAAAAATCAATGGACTTTAGATACCTTTCTCAGAGACCGTAACATAGAGGGGTACAGGTACTCTTAAAAACTAGATCACACAGGGACTCATATACACACATGCACGTACAACACACACACCAAACACACAGACACATAAAGGTTGAACTTGATGGACCTGTCTTTATTCAACCTCAAATACTATGTAACTATGTAACCACTTCAGGACCATAGCACATACATGTACACCCTGATCTTGAAGTGGTTATTCCAAGATCATGGCTGCAGGTATCAGAGTGGGGAGAGGGTTTTTGAACACAAGTGAGCTGGGCGTCTGTACAACCACCTGATCACTTGTACTGGCCTGTATGTGTGCCGGCCCTCCCCCTGCTTCGCCCTCACTGAAAGCTTTGGAAATGCTTTGTAGTAGAGCGCTGTACAAACTGTTACTATGCTGTACATGGCCAAATGTAAAACAAATATATAATACTGTATAGCTTACAAGTCCTTTTCAAGAATATCACTTGGGGTTCCTCCCGATTTATCAGCTGAGCAGAAATGTCCCTGGAGATTCTTTTTGATATTCTATACCAGCCTTTCTCAACCTTTTTGACATAGAGGAACCCTTGAAAAAAACTTTAAGGTCTCAGATAGCTACTGCTCACAGCATATTAGTGTGATCAGTAAGCTAAGAAATGGGAATCAATAAAAGAATAAATAATGTGACATACTAAGCCCATTTAAAACCCAGGGCTTCTCTATACAATCAAACTGTTTTCAGTAATTTTAATAAAACAGATCATTATGGCCAGAAAAGAACTGCAGACAGCGAAAATTGTAGTTTTCTCTCACAGTGGTGCTTAGTGGTGAAATGCCCTGTTATATTGGTCAGTGTAGGGCCAGTTATGTTAACTAAAGTATAGGACTGCCTTACATTGGTGATCAATGGGAGGGGTGCCCTTTTACTCTGGTGGTCCACTGAGAAGTGCCTCCTACATTGGTAGCCAGTGGAAGGACCCTTTACATTGGTTGTCACTTGGAGAAAGGACACCTTCCACGGTTGGTAAGTGGGAAGAATGTTCCCCTTACAGAAAGGTATAAAAATAATTGACATCAGTGGTTGCTTATGTGAGAGTCTGAAAGTGCTAATTGTTCAGGGAACCCTTGGTAACCTCTGGAGGATCCCTAAGGTTCCAAAGAACCCTGGTTGAGAAAGGCTGTTGTCTACTGTTCCACAAACAAACGTTTGATATGTTCAAGTGGTCTTCTAGATTTTGACGAAATCAGGTCATCTAGTTAATAAATGGATGCAATTTGTGTAGCTTAAAGTGACACTAAATTCAGGTGTTAAATCTTAAAAATGCATTCAAGTACTTTAACTATTAACAAAAATGTAGCCTCTTTGTGCATCACAAAGCTGTAGATCCTGTCCCATGACAGGTCGCAGTCCCCTAATGGAATGTAAACAAAGATGACATCATGGTACTTGCTCCACCCCTTTGTTCCGGAGCAGAGATGTTACTTGCGGCCTGTGTTAGTCGGGTGTGGATGTGGGCATCAGGGATTTTTTCTTTCTTCAAGTCAGATAAGCCCCCTGCCCACAGACCCCCACAACCACCGGACCAGAGTTGTGGGGAAGAAGCCCTTGTCCTCATCAACATGGGGACCCTACTCCATGTTGGAGGAAAGTGGCCTGGTATGGTGCAGGAGGGAGGAGCCACGCGATAGCCCCCCCTTTCCTGCCCTGCTAAGCTTCTGCTCAGATCAAGGGTTTGCTAAGGGATTTTGGGGGGACCCTAGACTTTTTCTTTTAGCCATGGGGTCCCCTCTAAAAACTTGGATACGTTAATTTCACATTATGTTTGCAATTCAGAAATTCGGATGCATCCAAAATTTTGGATACATTGGAATTCGGAAATTCGAATGTATCTGAAATGCAGATGAATTTGATTTCAGAGGTTAAGATGCATCCGAGTGTCCGAATTTAAAGAAAGTCATCTTAATTTCAATTTGGAACAAAACTCGCATGTCTACAAATTAGTAAACTAAACATAAGACTTTAGCCCATCACGGTAGTGAGTTTGCAAAGGTCGGTACAGGGACAATGGAGAACAAAAGTAGCCACCCTACAGAAGGAAGGACAGTGTCAGCATGAATTCAGAGATGATTTGAGGATCTACAGCTGAGTACTACACAAATAAAGTCCAGTATTGTTAATAGTTATATTTGAATGCATTTTTAGGATTTAACTCCTGAGTTTAGTGTCACTTTAAGTCTATTTTTTCCATATTTGTTCAATTCTTTTTTATTGATCATCCTAACGATGATACACTATCATGGTCCAGGACACAACGATTACATCCGAGAATGACTCAAATATTTGTGTCAGCAAGTCTGAAATCCATCTGACAAAAGTTAATAATCTTAGTACGGTGCAAATGTTCAAACGTAGGTTGCAATCCGAGTGACTAATGTCCTCTAAGGGTCATCACCTGTGAACTCCTCCTCCCCTGCCCTTTCATTTGACCTTTGGACAAATCTTTGTCCCTCTCTCCAATATAACAGCAGCACCCTGCAAGCTTAGCTTCATTTGTGAACTACCCAACCAAGGAGGTGCAAGGCACTTCCAACCTGCAACATGCCAGGAATATACCAGCAGGGGGTACTCTTCATCCAGATTGTACTGCTCTTCTCCAGCACTTATTGTGTGAGTAAAGCAATTTTTCTATGGGAGGAAAAACATTTATTAATGTATTTAGAAGATCAGGAAATACTTTATTTTAGTCTTAATAACACTTAGGTTAAGCTAAGTTTGAATATGTCATTGTGGTTACATTTATTGCAAAACATTACTTTTGCCAAGAATTTCTGTAGCGGAGACAATAGATGGGAAACAAGGATCGATTAGATATATTTTTTTCAATAATCAAATGTAATTATTATTGTTATCATTGTTGGTATTATTATTAATATTATATTTTGTTTCACTTTTTTACAGCAATACAATTTACCGCCAAACAGAGACAACTGTTGTATTTTAGATGAACGATTTGTAAGTATTCTTTATTTTGCTTTTCCTAAAGAAATCTGTAACTTAGAACAGCATTATCTTACTGATTTTTTTTATTTGCTTGTAGGGGGAATACTGCCCAACGACATGTGGAGTTTCAGACTTTTTTAGCAGATATCAGTCAGATGTTGACACAGAATTGCAGTACCTCGAAGGACTGTTAAACAGGGTCACTAACGAAACCTCAGACACGACAATAATTGTAGAAGACATACGGATAATTGGGAGGAAACCCCAAACAGCGCCACAAAGTATGCAATAGTGAATTATATTTGTGTACATACAAGAGTAAATCTTTTTTTTTTTTTTTTAATCAATCACTGTATTTTTTTTAAAAAATCACTGTAAGCATTGCATGCATGTTTACATATGTCAACTTTTCTTTATCAGCCACTGAAAACCCAACTCAGAAATCCAGAAATATGTTGGATGACATTTCACGATACGAGCAGACCATTTTACAGAATGATCAGAGCATACAGTGAGTGTTCCTGTGGTAACAATATTTTAGTATTCAGCATTTTATTGTTGACTAATACAAGAGAAAACACTTCCTTATGAAAGATTCAGTGATATTTTAATTTGGCCCAACAGTACACTGGTAAAATATGCTTTCGAAAGGTATATACTTCATATTTAGATACACTTCATGCCTGAAAAAAAGTACTTATGGTTTAAATTAAAAAAAGGCTAAAAATGTATCTGTATATTGCAAAGTCGAACATTTTGCCTTATATGATTGAATTAGGACAGCGTTACTAGTACTTCCAGTTCACTTCATTTTTGATTAGGTCATTCTTATTCCTCGGGGTTGATTTAATAAAGGAGTAGAAAATGTTCACACTTGAGTAGATAATCATGTGGATTATTGAAAAAGAGGATTTGTGCTTGTAAGTGAACACAGATTTTTTTAAAGTTTTCTAAAGTACAACTGAATCCAAAACTTTTTTTTTTTATTTATATAGAGTAAGGGAGGGTATAACCTCTGTCAGCTTTTTTTTTTTTGCTATCTGTGTCCCATTGGGGAGCCACAACAAGAAGTGAGAGGAAATCCCTGCAAAGTGAGGGGAATCTCTGGTGGTCAGCAGGGTCACCACAACTAGTGTCCCCATTGTAAGATTTCCCATCTATTCCTGTTCTGATGACAACTCAAATTTGGGATTTTCTTTCACTTTCAAATAGAGAGGGCGAATCTCTGTAATGGGGACACAGACCACAATGCAAACTTGACAGGTCATCTACTCCCTCTCCACCCTATCCAAAACTAAAAAAGATTTGGTTTCAGTTGAAGCTAAATGAATATTTACTCTGCAAAAGTGTATATTCATTTTTCCTTTAGTAAATCAATCCGATTTTGACCCACCGATAGTATTGAAGCCTTCATAGCAAAGTGAACCAGAGCTGATATTCAATGATAAGGTATATTCAACTTCATTCAAAACAATTTAATACAATTAAAAGTAAAGTGATGCCTTTGTTACATCTAAATACATTTCTTCCATTTAACAAGTTTGGTGGGATCACCCAACACATTTCATCACTCTGGGCAGAAATAGCATATGCTGCATAATCAACTTCATTCAACAAAGAACAATGTATTAATTCTTAAGGTATAAGTGTAACCAAAACTTTTTTTAGTTTTAAATATGGTAGAACCCCTGTCATGATGTTACTGTTGTGTCCATCCGTGTAGATTCACTCCCTCTATTTGCCCTGCTGACCATTTTCACTCTCTAAGAGAGGAATTCACCCCGATTTGTAGAGATTTCCTCTCACTCCCTGTTGCATCTCTGGGACAGGAAATGAAGGGAAATCTCCCCAACACGACACAGGCACCAACAAAAATAAACCTGCCAGGGTTTGTATCTTTCCATTGTCTATCTAAAAAATTAAAAAAAAAAAAGATATTTTGGCTTTATGTAATAAGACAATACAACTGAAAATAACCAATTAGATTTAAACTTTTGGACGATTTCTTAAGGGACCGTAATATACAGGGGTACAGGTACTCCTAGAATGAGATCCTAATAGGTTGGACTTGATGGACTAATGTCTTTATTCAACCTCAAATACTATGTAACTATGTAATGTGCTGTAATCAGGTTGGTAAAAATGTTGTCTGTTTTTTTTCTGTAGTGAAGACTAGACTTAACTTTATATACCTGTAAATGTGATTGGCTTGATAGAAATCATCAGAGTGTTTGAAAGTTTTATTTTGTATTTCATTTACTATAGAGTATAGTTTGTAATTATTTATGTCTATGTTTATTGACTATACTGTCTGTTTTATAGTGATACACATTAGGGTTGATTTACTGAAGAGTAGAGGATGTTCACCTAGAAAAGGCAATGTTGGTGAATAAAGTGAAGCTTACTTTTTTACTTTACTTTATATACTCAGTAATGTGCAAGGGAAATTCAAAAACAAGATTTATTTCTAGCGCATGTTTGGGTATTCAAAGTGAACACATCAGCTCCCTAATCTCTAATATTTGGATTGAAATTTGTGTTGAAAAAGATAGATTTGGGGAGCGTTGACCTTCATTTTGGCAGCGCAACACACATCAAGTAAATGCACTCCAATAAAATGTACATTTTTGGTGTGTGCCCAGCCTAACCAATCAATTCTTCTTCAGATTAGTGTATAGAAGCAACTCTTAGGGGTGTATTCACGAAGCTGCCTTTGCTAGCTCCGCACAATCGTTTTCTATTTACTTTTTTTAACTTTTTAAACTCTTTTTCTGTTCTGCTTGCTCCCTCTGAGGGACCGAGCAGAACAGCCAAGCCGAATGATGCTGAGCTGCCTATTCACTCACTGCTGTTCGGCATCTATAAGAATAGACCGAACAGCAGTGAGTAGCCTGCCGTTGGATCGGCTGAGTCGAACTCCTTCTGCACTTCGGGTCGGCCGAACATGCTGAGCATGTTCGGCCGACCCGAAGCCATGTGAAGCAAGCCGATGTACGGCTGATTTCAGCCGATGTACGGCTGAAATCAGCCGTACCAGCCTGAAGTGAATAGCCGAACAGTGTTCGGCTCACTTCATTTGGGGTCGGTTGTTCACTCGGCTGCCCTCGGCAGCTTAGTGAATAGACCCGTTAGTGTTACAGATGCATTCCCTATGGATAAGTACAGATTGATGTAGCAAGTGTAGAGGTAGGCAACCTCAGCACTCCAGTTGTGGTGAAACTACAAATCCCTTCATGCCTCTGCATAATGGAATCATGTCTGTGGCTGTGAGTCTTGCAATGCCTCATGGCACTAGTTCCACAACAGGAGAGCTGAGATTGCCTACTCTTGAGCGAGTGTATCCATTAAACCTGTTATAAATGGATGTTTCAGAAATGTGTCACAGTCACATATAAAGCTTCCCTGCAAAAAGAGACAGTACATATTAAGCACATTAATGCTCTGTGCAGCGTGATAATAAAACAAAATCCGTATGTATAAACTCACACTACATGTGGTGAAGTTGATATATTTTTGATTTTGTCATAGATACCTGCAAGAATTACTAACTTCCAACACAGATAGAATTATCCAGCTAAAACAGAAGATTACAAACTTAGAATCTCAATGCCAGCAGCCATGCAAAGACAGCGTAAAAATCCAGGAAATAACAGGAAAAGGTATGTTACTATAATGTATTCACTTTATAAAGACATGGGGGCACATGAATGGGGCAGAAGAATATAATTTCATCTACCCTGTGGTGCTTTTAATTTATGTTCACTTTATACCATATTCAAGGTACTTTAAAGATCTAGAAATATAGACACTCACTTATATATTAGCTGTTAATAGAGTTTCAAATCTGCAGATCCAGTTGTTTGGTAAAGACATGTCAGCCTTTGACAACCTTTATTTGGAAGGACCAAACTATAATATGTTTTTCTGGTTTAGTGGTAAATTTTGCATTTTCCTATCTTGTTTGCTCATAACACTCTTTCAGATCTACAGAGCAGGTTAGTCCGACTTTTGCTTCTTCATCCCATTAAGTTCCCAGTATGCTCCTTACATCAGCGGTATTATTTGTTATTTTACAAGTGAGGAGAAGCATAATATGTATTCTCTGGGGTTGATTTACTTAAAGTGACATTAAAGTCTAAAAATTGTTTTCCCTCCCCCCCATGTTAGTGAAAGCACTTACCTTAAATTATGTCTCTTAAAACGATCTTCTTCTTCTTTCCTGTCGTTTTCATCTGTTCCTCCAGCGCTGCTACGGTTTTCCGATCCAGCGCTGACTCCTCTGTGCTTGCTGGCACTTCCTGTCCCATGGTGTCTGCATGCGGGTGCACGCTGTCCATAGACTTACCTTGTGTCTCTCCTCGTCTCCCGGCCGAAAATCTGTACTGTGCATGCGCCCGCCCCAAGATCCTTTGCGGCCGCCGAAGATTTTCGGACTGGAGCGCGTGGAGAAGACACAGGTAAGTATTAACTTCCTTCCAAAGGTTTTTGTTTAGAAAAAAAAGTTTTTGCATATATCTACTGCTTGCCAGCAGTAGATATATGCAAACACACCTAAGGGTTTAATAACCCTTTAAGGAATAGAGTCTGATCACTTAGCAAAGTAAATGTCCACTGAGCTTAAAGCAGCAGTCTATGTAAAAATATAAAAGTACACCCTGCTCTATCTCACCCTCCCTGAGCCCCTCCCGCTAGCAATAGAAAAGATACAAATTACATGCAGTACATCTAGATGAGGACATCTACTAGCACAAAGGAAATAATGCAGAGGGCAGTTCTGGATTTAAAGTGACATTGAACTCATGAGTTTAACGTTAAAAATACATTCAAGTACCTTAACTATTAACAAAAATGTATTTTATTTGTGTATCACTCAGCTGTAGATCCTCAAATCATCTCTAAATTGGTGCTGGCACTGTCCTTCCTCCTGGGGGGTGGCTACTTTTGTTCCACATGGCCTCTATGTGTGTTGTAAAGTAAACACCACTTCAAGATCCTGTGATAGACTACATCTCATGTTTAGTTTACTAATTTTTATTTAGATTGTATTCCATCACAGAAGCAAGCTTGGGGCTGTGGCTTCTTTGTACCACACACAGGGACCATGGGGAACAAAAGTAGTCACCCTCCAGAAGGAAGGACAGTGCCAGCACCAATTCAGAGATGATTTGAGGATCTACAGCCGAGTGAAGAAATAATAGTTGAATGCAGTGCCTTATGGCAACTGTATAGGCAATATTCCAATCTAGAGGGTTTTATTGAAGATGAAATGTCTTTTGCTTCCTAGATTGCCAAGATGTTGCAAACAAAGGAGCACGTGTCAGTGGTCTCTACTTCCTTAAGCCTCAAAAAGCCAAACAACAATTCCTGGTTTATTGTGACATTGAACCATCTGGCTTAGGATGGACTGTTATACAAAGGGTGAGTGATAGTATTCTGTAGCTCTTCTGAAGTAACACGGTTCCTCTTTGAATGAGTGCCTGGAACTCCCTTTAGCTTGGGCGCAATGTGTAACATTAAGGTACACACCAAAGTATCTAAGTGAACCTAGCAATAAATTGCACTGGACTCCAATAATGGATAGATGGAGTTGCTCATATTATATTACACTTTGGGCTTAAAATGTTAATTTTTTTTAAGATTCCTAGCAAATCCTTTTGCTGTTTTTTTTTCCAGAGGCTTGATGGTAGTGTGAGCTTTAAAAAGAACTGGGAGCAGTACAAAGAAGGATTTGGATACTTGTCTCCAACAGACACAACAGAATTTTGGCTGGGAAATGAGAAGACACACCTTCTGAGCACACAGAGTACAATTCCATATGTTCTCCGGATAGAACTGGAAGACTGGAGTGGTCAGAAAAGGTAATATGAGCAGGCATCATGGTTGTCTGGGGCTCAGGTCTAGATGAATAAACATCATAAAAATAAAATATATATCACTAAAAGCAATGCTTGCCAGCTGATATGCAAATAATAATGGCAGTAGCCCATACTAGACATGCAAATTTCTAAAAATGTGCAAATTTAGTTAAATTTAGACACTCAAATGCATACGAATTTCTGAATTCAAACACATCCGAATGCGAACTAATCCAAATGTTCCTTTATCGAAATTTTGGATCCATCTGAATTTTGTTCAAAACAAAACTGGACTTGTGACTGTTCCCTGACCAATCAGACTTTTTTTTTGGCTGTTGGGGGTTGCATTATAGGCATGGTCATGTGACTTCCTGTTGTGGATCCTTCCGAAAAGAAAATTTGGACGTATACAAAATCTGAATAACAAACCAAATCAAATTTTGGATACAAAATCCAAGAAACAAGGGTCCAAATCAATCCGAAACTAAGGAAATGTTTCCGGGGTGACATGTCTAGCCCATACTGACCAAGGAGAATACAGCTTTAAGTATCTTGGAAAGATAAGACTGTAAAAATTTGGGGCTAAAAACACCACAATTTTAGCAATCTGTGAAAATGCATATAGTGTAAATTATGTAATGAACTAAAATCAAGAATTATTTATTTTGACCTTTTGATTGAATAGAATTTACTTCTCCAGAAATTGATACATATTGATATGATCTTTCCTTTGTCTATCTAGCACAGCGGATTATGCCACATTCAAACTGGGTGCTGAGAAGGACTATTACAGGCTGAGCTATGCTTACTTCCTTGGCGGTGATGCTGGAGATGCCTTTGATGGATATGATTTTGGAGATGACCCCAGTGACAAGTTTTATACTTCTCACAATGGCATGCAGTTCAGTACATATGACAAAGATAATGATAAATTTGAAGGAAACTGTGCTGAACAAGATGGCTCTGGTTGGTGGATGAACAGGTGCCATGCAGGTCACCTCAATGGCAAATATTACCCAGGTAACAATTTCTTCAGTGTCATTACAACTAGGTATGTTATTTCATCTGACACCAATAAATAGCAAATTACGTAAAAGGATAATGTACTGTAAAAAAAAGTTGTACATAGGTTGGATTACCGGTCAGATTCTCATATCATTTCCCTTAAGATGAAACTTCTGCCATAAATTATTGCTGGTCGAACTAATTGGGAGCAGATAGAGCTGCCTTTAGCCCTTTAAAAGAAACTTGCATTGACAGAATATGATGGCTGCTGTTACTGACCTCTCCTTCTGAAAATGATAGTTGCCTGACTGTTGCAATGATCCAGTGGCTTTAATGCTTTCTGAGCCACTGACCTGAAGTAAGTATGCAGGTGAGGAGTTCTGACTTAACTCTAGACTTTCTAAAATGCATGCATGTTCCAGGTAAGTATAGTATTGAAGTTAAAGACAGCCAAGCAACTAGTATTTCTATAAGGAGGTCAGCAAAGGCATTCTATTCTCACCTGTTCTTGATCCTGCAAGATATAAATTCTGTAGTCTTGTCAGTGCCGCACAGCTGCTTATCAAATATCTTCTGTGCCGGGCCCAAGCATGCACTGTGTACTCTAATTTCCTATGGAGAGCCCTGGAGTATGAGCTTTTACTTCAGACTACAAAGGAATGAATGGGAGTGCAGATCTCATGAGTGGGCCTGGCATGGATTTTTTTAAAAGGTGCCTGTGCGGCACTGAAAAGGCCTCACAGCTGATATTTTGCTGGATTGGTGCAATTACACTTTAAACTCTTTGGGACCCTGGAGAGTACATTGGCCCAATGACACTATGGCTTGGTAAAGAGCTATTCAAATCCAGTTCCCATTAGGAACCCAAAATGTTTTTTGAATTAAGTAATTAAACTGGAAAAATATATAGGCAACTTTTTGTAATATATGTGTTTTTTTTTACAGTGGGCATAGTGACCTAGATTATGTATAATATTATACTGTACATACAGTACCGTATATACTCGAGTATAAGCCGTCCCGAATATAAGCCGAGGTACCTAATTTTAGCAAAAAAAACTGGGAAAAAGTATTGACCCGAATATAAGCCGAGGGTGGGAAATGAGGCAGCTACTGGTAGATAGATACCAATAAAATTACATTAATATTTATTTAAAAGAAAAATAACCTAGCTCTGTAAGTGGAAAAGGGGGTACAGGGCTACATATCATGTACTACGGATCATTTAACCCATTCATATTAGCAGAGGATAATTGTAAATCTATTGTTCAGTGCACTCTATATGTAGTATATAGTACATGTACATATAGAGTGCCTGCAACAATACATTTACAATGATCCTCTGCTAACATGAATGGGTTAAATGATCCATAGTACAGGGCTACATACAGATCATTTAATACATTCATGTTAGTATAATTGTAAATGTATTGTCTGCACTGTATTAGCAGTATATACTCTATATAGAGTATATACTGCTAATACAGTGCAGACAATACATTTACAATTATACTAACATGAATGTATTAAATGATCTGTATGTAGCCCTGTACTATGGATCATTTAACCCATTCATGTTAGCAGAGGATCATTGTAAATGTATTGTTGCAGGCACTCTATATGTACATGTACTATATACTACATATAGAGTGCACTGAACAATAGATTTACAATTATCCTCTGCTAATATGAATGGGTTAAATGATCCGTAGTACATGATATGTAGCCCTGTACCCCCTTTTCCACTTACAGAGCTAGGTTATTTTTCTTTTAAATAAATATTAATGTAATTTTATTGGTATCTATCTACCAGTAGCTGCCTCATTTCCCACCCTCGGCTTATATTCGGGTCAATACTTTTTCCCAGTTTTTTTTGCTAAAATTAGGTACCTCGGCTTATATTCGGGACGGCTTATACTCGAGTATATACGGTAGTTTATTCTCTGCAGTCTCAGGTGCTATATATCAGTAGACTGTTTATAACCATGTTCTTTTGTTTTCCTTTACAGGTGGCACTTACAGTGAAGCTGACACAACTGGTGGCTATGACAATGGTATCATTTGGGCAACATGGCGGTCTCGCTGGCAATCCATGAAGAAAACCTCCATGAAAATCATTCCTTTGAACCGATATGTAACAGATAATGGACAACAGCATATAACGGGAGCTAAGGTCGGGTCTGAGGGCAGAGGAGATATATAGGATTGTAAAATGCTGACATTTACAACACCCCACCATGACCTTATATCTACAGTTTAAATGATTCTCCAGACCTCATGTTTTGCAGTTAATTATGTTTACAATAAAATACCTAAAGTATGTAAACATATGCTTAATTTTGCCACAACTGTGTGGGTTCAGTCATGGAAAATTTAGACAATTTTTTATGTATCATTTTCTATATTTGTGTTGGAGAAAAATATCAAGCAATATCCATACACATTGAGATATACTTAAACATGTATTTCCCCTCAAGCATTTTAGAAACTATGTCAATAAATGCCGTGCACACTCTTTATTTAAAGCAGCCTGCTTGTTTGAATGAACAATTTTCTCCTACATAATCCGAGATGGACATCTTGTTCGCAGACGTAACCATGTTCATCCTTTCACAGCGACATTTATCTAACATTTAATATACAGGTTAGGATTGGTTCACTCATTCTGACATGAGCACAGTGGCCTGATTTTTAACTGCCTTTCTCCTATATGTTTTTGCCAGCTCCTGTGTATTGTGTAGGGAAAAATACCCAAATGTCATACAATGACAGGACCTAGTCATACTTTGACTGCATTTTCCATCATACATGTTTGATATGAAATTATACAATAAGTTGGATTTACAAAGGGTTGCACTTTGCATTATTTGCCATTTTTCTTGTATTTTTAACCACAGGGAATCTATAATTAAATTTTTTCCACTTCTATGCATAGAATTTTCCAAGTGCCTTTGCAAATCTGCCCACTGACTGGGTAGTGATGCCATTTTCTATATAAACTAGTAGCAGATCAAGACTAAACCATTTAAATCTGTGAGGCAATTCTTGAATACATTTAAACTAAGCTTTCTATAATAACAGTAAAGGTTATTTTACACCTGACATGCAGATAGGTACGTGGTAGAAAACATTACTTTGGCAACTAGTAAGGCAACTAGTAAATGGCAGTTACTCAGTGAAAACTATATATCCAATGGCTGGTATGTTAGATTATTGTAAAATTATGTAAGCAGACACTACACACAGGTATTGCTGGACCACTTTTATTATATCTAACAAAATACAGAGATTTGACATGGGCACCTAATGCTTAAACCTTTCATTATTTAGCCATTACTTCTAAAGCCATTTTGTTTAAAGATTTGTCTGTTTGTAAATCTGATTGAGAGTTTATAAAACCATGTTCCTTCTCTATTATATTTTCTTTAGTGTGGGTGCATGTTTCTTTAAGTATTTTTATTTAAAGTGTATGCATAGCAAAGAGTAGAGAAGGGTTAAAACTTCTGCCAGTGTTTGTTTTTTTTTGTTTTTTTGCTGTATACCTTTGGGGAGATTTATTTTCACTTCCTGTCCCAGAGACACGGGGAATTAGAGAAAATATCCCAAAGTGAAGGGAATAAGACAGTTGTCCTGGAACAGATGCTCTCATTGTAGGATTTCCCCCTCACCACTGGTTCTTAGGACACCTCCAAAGTTTTGGATTTCCCCTCACTTTCTTGGTAACAATGGTCACCAGTACAAATAGAATGGTGAATCTCACCAATGGGAACACAGCAATAAAAACTTGACAGACGGTCCAACCTTTCCCCACCCTATGCAAAACTAAAAAAAGGGTTTTGCATAGTATTCTCTTATTTAAAGGGTGGCTGCCTGCTAAACACAGTTAAACTGGAATTTAACCCTTGCAGTGGGGCTATCACCACATTGCAAGGGGTAACTGCTCGTTTTTGTCTAGGGGACCAAATAAAGACAATATAATCACCAGATCCTTGGTCCTGCCGCAGAGAAGACTCACCTCCCTCCCTCTCCACTTTGGTATGTCCCTCAATGTTTTCACATCCAATACTTTGTATTAGATGTGATGAATTATGGGACCTTAAGGTGCCCATACACTGCACGGTTCTCGTACGATTATCGCGGGAAATCACGCGATCGTACGAGAATCGTGCAGTGTGAATGAAGGCGTGCAACCGTTTCTACTGTACGGTTGCACGTCTTTTGTCTAAGGAGCATGCTAGAAAACCATCCGAAAATCTTACGATTTTCGGCTAGTTTGAATGATGCTCGGGAGACAAATGCCGAACGGGCCGGTGTACGCACGCGCACACTGCCCGTTCAGCATTGCAGTCATCGGAAGCCCGTTCCTCAGGGGGGCGGGCTTGCGATGATCGCAAGTACGATCTGCCTGTCCGAGATGGGCAGATCGTAGGTTTTTTAAATTACTTTACAACCATCGCAAGACTAAGGTCTTGCGATGGTTGTAAAGTGTATGGCCACCATTAGACTACTGGAGCCCAGGAGAGAAATGGCTTCAGGAACCGGTGTAGCCGCCACTGAGGATTGAGAATCAGACACAAAAATGAGTTGTTAAACCTTGCACTGGAGGTTTAACTTTTAAAATTCCTGAAGACCTGCTTTAATATTATGGTGAAAATTTTAGTTGTATGTATAGCAAACCTGTAGCAATGAATTAGATATCAATTTCATTATCTTGACTGCTGTAAACTGCTGAAAGGCAATTTTTTATTTGCTTTTAACGGTTACTACTCATAACTGTGATTTTTTTTTTCCACTCATAACTGTGATATTTTTTATTTCATTCATTCATTCATTTTAGGATTTTACCATAACTTTCTTTAGTGGAACTGCACAGAAATCAGTATTGCATTATATTGCATGATTGTATCGCTGCATCAGTTGTGATTCATTATAACATTTAAGAAGTACAAAAATTGAGTTGGTAGTTGAAGCTACATACAGGAATTGTGTATTTTGTTATTTGCAGATTCCCCATCAGTTATCATATGTGTTTATATGTCCCCAGAATGGTTTTTTTTTGAGTCACTGTGTGGTATGGTATATTAATTATTGTTTTCTCTCATTGTAGGGTGGAGACATATAAATTGACACATTTAAATAAAAGCACAAGATTTGTGGGATGCGGAATATGCCAGATTTGTACTGTCTGTAAACTTGCACTATGTCAAATAGGAAAACAAGACACATTAAAAAACATTTTAAAATCAAAATAAGGTCTTAATAATTTATTCAAATGAAGATTTGCTATTCGCCATTTATCTTTTCTCACTCCATTTTTACATCTCTTACCCACATGTTTAAGTATATCTAGTGCAAAAAAAAATCTAAAGCCGCCAAATCTTCTGCAATCGGAATTCTAATCATCGACCCCAGGTTACTTCATATAAACCTATGTGTTGAAGCAGGCCTTTCCTGAACTAAGCTATTACCTGATAGATTTCAGCCTGTCACTGTGAACAGAAGCATTGCACAAGTATCCAAAAGTTACCTGGTCATCAGGACAAATGGAAAGGTTGAATTTCTCACACAAGGACACAAACATCATTAGGAGCTGTTCACACCATCTCCAGACCAGAACATTTTTTTTATCTGCACCAAAAGCACATACACAGTAATTTCAATGGCTTTAAATGAGGCTACTTCATACCACTGCATTCAGTTTCAGAGCTTTTTAAAAAAAAAGTACAGCATGCTGCATTTTTTTTTTACATTGGAACACACAAAAAGTCATGTAAATGCACCAGAATGCATTGAAACATGCTTAACACCCAAGCAAAACCAATAAAAAAATACAATTAAAAAAAAGCACACCAGAACACAGAAATGCATCCAGATCTGGTCTGGAGATGGTGTGAACAAGCCTTAAAGCAGGGGTACTAACTATTCCCAATTCTTTCCAAAACGCGAAAAATACATTTTGCTTAGCAATACACTTCAACAGCATGTTTAACACTAGTAAACCTGTTTTTTACAAACAGGATGAAGGAAAGAACTAGCTCCAATCAGACTGCTTGTTTCATTTTACCAGACAATAAAAACTGAAACCTGTTTGGTCATAATGGGTAACAACTCTATGTTTGTGGACAATGTTTTTTCCAAGTTTTGTAACTGAGACACTAGGGAGGAGTAATATTCTATAACAGGATTGTGTGTAAAAGCACACCAGTTTCATGGTCATACAAAGCAAAGTGCAGCTTAAAGTGACACTAAACTCAGAAGTTAAATTTTAAAAATCCATTCAAGTAACTTAACTATTAACAAAAATGTATCTTATTTGTGTATCACTCAGATGTAGATCCTTAAACCATCTCTCAATTGGTGCTGACACTGTCCTTCCTTCTGGAGGGTGGCTACTTTTGTTCCCCATGGTCTCTGTGTGTTGTAAAGTAGTCACTGCTCCAAACTCGCTCCTGTGATAGACTTTAATTTTAATACAAATCAGTAAACTAAACCTGAGATTGTAGTCTTTCATGGGAGAAAACTTGGAGTGGTGGCTACTTTACAATACACACAGGGACCATGGGGAACAAAAGTACCCACCCTCTAGAAGAAGCACAGTGTCAGCACCAATTCAGAGATGATTTGAGGATCTACAGCCAAGTGATACAGAAATTAGATAATTTTTTGTTAATAGTTAAGGTACCTAAATAAATGTTTAAGGTTAAACTCCAGAGTTAAAAGAGATTTATGGGGTAAGTGTTTTTCCCCATAGTTCTCTTTAGGGTCACGGGAGGACATATACTAACCTCCTCCCGTGACCCAAAGCTCAGTATATCGCGGGCTATTGCCCACGATATACTGAGTGACAGCATGAGTGACAGCTAGCTCTGCCTATCTAGAGGCAGAGCCAGCTGTGCCCAGCCCCGTCTGTTCCTCCACTCAACACTGGAGATGATCGGAAAGTGAACGAGCAACGGTATGTGTTTGCTCACTTCCCGATCAATAGAGCCGACCTGTGACAACTTCTTTGTCACAGGCCGGCCCTAACTATGAGGATGAGTGGAAATCACCTCATAGTTCTCCTTTAAGTGTCACTTTAAGTGCTACATATTATGTTAGCGTGTCTGCCTTCCTCTCGTAGGATGCCATGGAAGACCATGTTATTTTACTCTCAGTAAAAAAAAAAAAAATTAGCTCTATGGTGGAGCAATGCCTAGTGGCATAGGTACCCCATCTTGGACATCTGAAAATGTTCTGATTGCAACATTGAACTTGAAGAAACTAGCTATCTTCAGCTACATCTTAGCTGATGAAAGATCGTCAGAGTCTTTCTGAAGGTCATTGAAATGAATTCAAATTAAGGCATTCTTAGATCTCTGCCATATGAAAGTGAAACATTATGTTGGTACTGCACTTTTTACTACAGGTATATTGTATAATCACCCATAGAACTACTGTTCTATGGGTTGTAGCTCTGAAGCCTGAGAGACTGCTAGGGGCCTGGGCAACCTCTCCCACACCTTACCAAGTACAATCTCTGAAATTGTGTCTCAGACTTTACATGTAGGCTCTCGATGTAGGCAGATTCTTGTTGGGATGCCAAGCACAATGTAGTGATGTCATCATTCAATACAGTGATGTCATCTTAGTCTATGTTAACATGTTTCAATATTCTATTAGATGCACATTTGTTAGCATATGTGGGCACAGTAGGCCAGACACAACCACGTAATAACCAAAACTTGACACAATGTCCACCTATACACTCATTTGCCAACAGTATTCATAGACTACCTAACAATACTGGAACCCAAAAACAGATTTAACTCTGTCACCTCTGTCTAATGAGCAGGGAACTGACCCAAGAAGCTGTAATGCTAGACCAGAAAGTAGCAGGATGGTTGTTCTGACTAGCAAAGGTGGGTATATCATAATAACGGCTGGCCAGTATGACCAATGACCAATCCTTTGGTAGATAAAACGGTATATATAGTATATATGTATTTGTACTCTGTATTTCCCTGTTTGCCTGCAGTTCCATATTAAATGGAGGACAACCTCTCAAAAGAAGTCACATATATTTATATACCACAGTAAAAGGTTTGGTGTTAAAATCATTCATCTAGACCTTGTAAACCACAGCCTAGTGATATTACACACTCCTCATACAGGTTGCCATGTGTACTGTAGTGATCAGAGATGAGAGAAAGCCAACAGGGATGTGACTTTTTTTCCCCCAGCTACAAGCAACGTTTTTAATGCTTTGAATAGCACTCATGTAAGTGGTAAATAGGAAGTATTTAATACATTTACTGGATAATACTAATGGAGTTATCTCTGCTTATTTGTGAGAATTAAAGTAGAGAGCTGTATCTGTATATAAAGAGGAGGACTAACAAAGGAATACTTTTGGAATACCGAAGGTTGAATAAAAACCCAACTCCACTTAAAAAAATCTCACTACCATCCCATCTACCCACCCCCTTCTAGCCTATCCTGCCAGGTATTGTTTTTCGTACCTGCTGAAGCAAAATATACTCACCCATGTCCCTCCATCCAGCTACCTCACTAATGCTTTTTCTGCCAGCGGGGACAGCTAATCCAAGCTAATCCAACGCTGGCCGGTCCCCTTTGCTGCCAACATCAGTAGTCCTCTAGATCAGTGGTCCCCAACCCCCGGGCCCGCGGACCGGTACCGGTCCGTGGATCAAATGGTACCGGGCCGCCCAAGGAACATTAAATTATTTCCATTTTATTTACTGTGGTGTATTTCTCTCGGGTTTGTTTGACTTTCCAGGACAAGAGGTTAACCGGGAGCTGAGAGACGTCACCTAAAGCCGCACCAATACCGCGCATGCGCAAAATATCGTGATATCGGGACGGTTTTAGGTGACGTCTGGAGCTGAGCGGCTGCAAGCGGCAGTGGCGTTGTAGCTTTGGTAAAGAGAAGGTGTGTATCTCTCTTCTCTCTGTTCACCGGTACTTTCTCATGTTTAACAGTGCTTGGTGTACCTGTATATTGTGTTTGCTCAAATTTAACCCACAAATTAGCAAAAATGAGTACGAAACAGACGTCGTTAGAAAGTTTCCTTGGGAAAAAGAAAAGGCCCAGTGAAGAGACAGAAGAAGGGCCTTCAACATCAAAGAAACATGTAACTTTTAACAGACAATACCATGAGTCCTACTTGAAATATGGATTTATCGGGACAGGTGATTCCAATCTAAAATATAAACAATCAACGCCCCCCCCTCAGCGGGCCGCTGTAAAATTCTCAAACGTTGACCGGTCCGCGGCGATAAAAAGGTTGGGGAGCACTGCTCTAGATCCTCAGAGGACCCCTGAAGTGAACAGTCAATGAGAACAATTCACGTCACACAGGACGTGACTTGGATTCCTGGAAGAAGGAGCCCAGCAGGAAATAAACAGAGGGAAGAAGTACCCAGCGCTGGATAATCATGTGACTGCAGCTTAAGTTATGTAAAGAAGGGGACTTAAACTTAAAGAATTTTTTTCTTTAGCCCAGCGATCAGTGAGACTGGGAGAAGGGATTGTACTTTTTTATGTTGGAGTTATGCTTTAAGAAAAATGACATAAAGCTTGCTTGACATTCTGTGATATAGAGGTCAGCAGGATCTGGAGATTCTCTGTCCACAGAGAAGGTGATGGTTTTCCCACTAAATTTTAAGAGGATCTGTTCCTATTGTGAAGTTTATTGGCAGAATTTAAAGAGTTTATTTATAAATGTTTTCACCCAATATTTGCATAACTCTCACCCAAGATTCACACAATTGTTTGAATCCTAGGTGCAAGTGGTGTGAATCTTTGGTGAAAATATATAAATGGATGCTGTTTTTTTTGCACAAATAGTTGGTGGAAGGATCACCATTAAAAAAAGACAGTTGTTGTCACATTATATTATTAATTATTAAACGTTATATAAAATCTTGTTACACTTTCCATCATGTAATATTGAACTTTATATGAATTTGTTTTGTAATCAGCGTCCTCAAAGGGCAGAAGTTAAAGATACGTAGCAAGAGTGAGCAAATACAGAATAAGCTCCACAGGACAGGGGTGCACTAGATCCACCAGCTCCAAAGGACAGAGGAGTTGATAAAGAGGAAACATCCTTGAAGTGCCTTGCCTACCCTTTATTGGAAGCAGCAAGCACTCCTTTTCCCCTGGAGGTGCCTTGAGGAGACAAGAATTGTTGATTTTCTTAAGACTGATGGAACAGTTGCAGTCCAGAGGATTCTGGCA